CACGATGCTGCCACAGAGCAGCCGGATCAATGATCTGTCCAGCCCATCGTCGAGTGCAGGCATACTGTGCGACGCTGCTGAATGAATACTACTACTACTACTACTACTACTACTACTACTACTACTACGTTGGAGACGATGAGAGTTACTACAGTAGAGCGCTATCATTCTTATCCAAACTCCGACATGTTCTCCCTAGACAGGAAGTGTCTTCTCCAGCTGAAAATTCTGTTGTTGTTATCGAGATACTGGCGTGGGCTATGGTCCAGAGATCATCCAAAATGCCAGGGCCCTGGACTGGCTCAATCTGCGTGAGGCCGAAGGTACAAGGCTTCAGTGCATGAAAGTAGCTGACTCCGCGGCATTGTGAGTGGATTGATGCCTGACGTGTCCTGATTGTGCTACCAGTAGAGCTGCTGCCGTTCCCACATGGGCTCATTGAAACCCATCCAGGCCTATACTATGCTCTACACAATGTTCGGGCAGGGGCCTTGGACACTTGTGACAGGGGAGGGAAAGGCCCATCAGTTAAGCCTGCCCCGAGACTACAGAGGGACCGGGTGTCTGAGCGAAGTGCCATGAGGTTTTAAGGGCCAGGGTTGCATCGGCGCATTGCTCGCCTTCTTTGGGGCTGCTCTGGAGGGGGGGTTCAGAGAGTTCTGTGTGTTGATGGGGCCAAGCACAATGGTTACATCAGGGCCTAGTGGGTTCACCTCAAGTCAAGGTACGTCATCATCCAGGGCTCAGCGTTTCTGGTCGACAAGATGCCTAAGCCTCTGGACCGGAGCTCGTCAGATTCGCTTCTTGCGTCTGCTTTGGTCATTGTTGTGTTCCAAGCTCGCAGACCTCGCCCAATAATGTGTGTAGAGCTCCGCTTTTCAGAAGCCCGTGGCAGGACAACCCGGCGAAGGGAATGAAGATGCAGCGGCACGAGGCTTCTAAAGACTTGGTGCTCTGCTAAGCCCTGCTAAGGCTAGGTGTGCATCACGTGAGGTTGAGGCAGTCAGTCGTTGCGAGATGTTCCTGGAGCTGGTGCGTAGGCCGAGTACGAGAACATTTTCGCTCTCCTCGGGCTCTTTGTCTGCGCAGGCTTCTTCCTGCTGCTTGGCTGTGCATAGCCATAGGTTGCAGGATGCATGGTCATATCATACTGACGTAATACATGTGGAGCTGGTCGAGAAAGGGCAGTGCTGTGGTGACAATCTTCATGTATGATGGACACACACACACAGACGTATGCAGCCCAGGTGGTACCTATGGAAGATGTGGCACCCAGCTTAGCAGAGTGTGTGACTTGCACGTTCGACAGAAACTGCATGGAGGCATGTACGAGGGATCCTGGGTTCCCCTGGGAGTGAAAACTAGAGTCAACGGCTCCAGGAGCTCGAGCTAGTTCAAGGGGCTCATTCAGACGAAGAAGCGCGGGAGTTGCTACGGCAGGGGCAGGGAGAGACAGGCACACAAGCGCGTAGCAGAAGCACGTCACACCGGCTCAGCTTCGAGCATCCCGAGCTGAAACTCTGCTAGACCTCAAGCTGCTTGTTTGGAGTTCGGAGTCTTTGGAGCTCCTGACAACTTGGGGACGGGTGAAAGCTCGGGTGTCAGGAAAGAGTCGCAAGGCGGAGGGGGTGCAATCAGCGACGCAATCGCCGAGAGCACCATTCAGGCTGGAGGGCCGGGAGTAGTGTGGTTGTGCCAGCATGGATGATGATGTCCTCGACCTTTCGTTGAGGGTGGACCAATTCCATGCAGCACTTGAGCACTTGCATACTGCACACTTCCAAAATCTGTCCCTGCGACATGGAAGGCCATGCGAGATGGCAGCACCGGCGAATCTTGTGAGGGGTTGGAATCACAGGGGGTGGAGCTAAGACATGCATGCAAACTTCGGGGCCTTGATGAGACTCCGCGTCCAGATGCTGCCTGGGCACTGGCCAGGCACACTTACGCTCCGTGGGGCCATGGCTTCCTTCCGCGACAAGCAGTGGTGCGCCTGTTTCTGCATCATCTTATTGTTGTTGCATATATTCATTTTTGCGGCCGTGCCTTTGTCAGTTCAGGAGCAACATGTGCAAGAAGGGCGACCTCACAGAGGCACACTTGTCTTTCGAAGCCGTACGGGAGGCAGTCAGGCAATGCTAACTAGATTACATGGTCGATCACCTCAAGCTGCCGGCAGCATCCATATCTGTGCGTCTCAGGTAGGGGCGTGGGCTCTTTCCTTTTCTGAGGTTCTCCTTAACAAGGAGTCGATGGATGAAGTTCGGCGCATGTGCAAGGCCTGCTTCAGTTCTCAGATCGTGGACAGAAGATAGAGGCTGCACAAAATGGACATGGGGTCCTTGGCTGGAGAGGTGTTGGCACCCTTCTTCGCCATGTACGACGCCAACGGCAACTTGCCGAGAGGATGGATGCATAGGTCCACACCTAAATGGAGGCCCTTCCAAATTCATGCCAACGTGGTACAGCTCGCCTTGTGCTGCATCGGCTGTGAAGCAACTGTGCAGCTACCGAGCGTGCTAAGCTTCACGATCACTTCATGGAATTGAGGCGACAATGCCATAGACTTCGAGGAGTTCCGCATGATCTTCAAGGAAGCGCATGAGAACAGCGATCATGTCAGGCTTTGGCAATTCTTTTTTCTGAGTCGACCGACAAGTGCGAGAGAGCATTGCTACTTCCATGCCGGAAGCCGCATTTCACAAAATCAGAGGATAGACCCGAACTCGCATCCATGATGCTTCTGCTGTCTGTCTGGCAGGATGTTGGCAGCTTGGTTGCAGACAATCTTTTCGGACCAGCGCTTGCAGAGTCCCCGTTGCAGGAGAGTCTGCCAGACCGAAGTTTGCTTCTCTCCCTCTCCCCTCTCTCTTTAGTGTGGACATGTGTGGACGCTTCGCTTCGTCTGCCTTGGCCGTGCCGCAGGCGAATAGTCGAGAGTACGAGAGGAAGCTCACAGAACGTGGGGCGGGAGGGACGGGCGGGGGTGCGCGGGGGGCGGACCGGGAGGAGATTCGGCCGCCTTCTCAATCAACGTTAAGGGAGGGGGGGAAATGAAGAGAAGGGGAAGCAGGGGTTTTCTGTGTGGGAAGCAGACCGCTTCGGCCGGGTTGGGGCAAACTGAGGACATCTTGCTACCTCTTGCGGCACGACTCTTGCATCCCGTAACGTGGCCAGGTGAGAACCTCTCCCGGGAAGCGCAGTACGCAATGTTCGACGCAGCAGACACGGCACCGACCTCGGTCCCAAGCTGCGTCATCGCTGGATCTCCTGGTCGCTCTAAGCCACGGCCACGCTCTGGAGACAATTGCAATGCGGATGTAACTATGCGTTTCGTGCAGCCCAACGCCCTGAATCGTGATGTCTTGCACCCGCGGCATGTGAAAACCGCCGCAGAACAAGAGCAGCGACATCAGCTTCGAGGACGGCCGCAGCTCGCAGTTTTAGTTGTTCTCAGATGAAAGATGTGTAGAATCAGTGTAGAAGTGGACTCTTGCGCTCCGAACTGGATGAGAGCAAGAGAAGGCTAAGCCCGAAGACATCGGTCCGCGAGTTTCATGGCTCCCATGGGGGCCAAATGTAGCTCAAGCTTGACGAAGCTTGAACGGAAGCAAGTTAGCAGCAAGTTGTAGCAGCCGTGCAGCACAGCCAAGAGCCAAGCGATGGCGACTGTTGCACCTCGGCATCCACAGAAGCCCTGCGCAGCTTAGGGTTCCAACTCAACTGCCTTGAAAGGTTGCGGGTGGCTACCATGGACCTGTGCCGAGTCGATATGAGGAGGCAGGGCGAGTCTGGGGTAATGTGCTTGAAGCTCCCGCTGCTCGCCTTCCCCTATCTCGCGACCCGCGAGGAGGAGGTGGGGTCACTGAAGTGGCTACTGAAGGAGGCTGAGGTGGGGAGGGGCGGCCCCTTTGGCTCAGGGGCTCAGTGCTGTGATTTCTTCAAAGACCCCGCGACCGCGACCAGGTGACTTGGTACGAGCACGAGCCGGCACATCAGCGCACCAGAGAGGCGGTAAAGAAAGAGGACGCAGATGCTCTGTTCCTTTTTCTTGTTTTGCAGAAGGGAGAGGCATGGAAGTATGTGATTAATTTGCCTCGACCGGTGCAAGAGACAGGAGCTTGACGGCTGCATGCAGGAATACATGGTCGGTCTCTCAGCACAGCGAGTGCGGAGAAGCCCAAGCCAGACAAAAACCCTTCTTCTACTCTAAGCGCCTAAATCGGGGGAAGTCTCGGCAGACAGAGCCCTACTCTGCCAGGTCCAGCAGCGCTTCTCCGAGCGCGTCAGTCTCCGGAGGCGTGTGGCCGGGGGCCTCGGAGCAGAGAGCGCCGACGGAGAGCGGACGGAGGCGGAGAGGCGGAGAGGGCAACAAAAGAGCAGGAGGATGCAAACAAAGTGCGGCTGGACAGAGTCCTCTCGCATCCTCTCACCGAACTGTTGCTGGGGTTCGAACGCTTTAGTTGTGCTCCTGTCGGTATCCACTGCAAATGACACTTTAGACTCATTGGCCCAATGACTGGCTATACCTGCTGCTACTTGTACTACGACTTCTCCAACGAACGACGGGATGTTGAGTCAAACCTGCGGGTAACTGCCTACTGCTGGTTGCTGCCCTTGCAGCTACCAACGGTCGGCAAGACTCCACCATGTCTCAAGTGCTGCAGCTGCGGGCAAGATGCAGATGAGTAGCTAAGCGACCAGGGCTTTTCTGCGGCCGGGAATCGGAGTTGGGGCGACCATTCTCGTTCGGTTCTCACGCGGCAGAGCCCAGGAGGTGATCCACAAGGGTGGATCTCCGGAAATCCAGGACAGCTGGGTCGGGCAGTGCAGTCCCTCTAGTGGTTGTTCTCGGTGCTTGTGACTCGAGGCCCCCATTTGTCTTGACCGGTGACAGCTGTGTGTAGTTCCGGAAGATTCACATCGGCCGCTCCCTTGAGACCCAGCATAAAAACGAGGGGCTGCGAGTTAGAGCTCTCCTGGGCCCCTGCTTAGGCAGGGCCAGTCCCACTTGGTCTTGCAAGATGTGAAATTGAGAGATGAGATCTTCTTTCCCGCATGGCCTTGCGCAGGAATCCTGTGCAGCCCTGGCGAGGGGCTGCTGTGCTCTGTACCTCGGCCCAGCTATGTTGCAGGGTTTGTTTCTTGTGTGTCCTCCCCCCACTCCCATTTTACGTGCCCTGCGCACCCAACTCCATGCATGCACCTCTTGGCACCTCTCTGCACTCCTCCCTCCCCCCTACCGAAGCCTCTTTCCATCCATGTGCAGCTCCCCCGCACACACTCGCAATTTTGCTCTGAATAGAGATTCGATGGCCAGTGATTGTGGGTCGAGGCTTCATGCAAGCGGCAAGCCTTTTCAATTTTAGGGACGGTGCATTGGAATGTCGAGCTCGATGGTTCGATGGCTGCCCGCCCGCCGGCTGCACGGGTTCGACTTCGCTTGGCACTGCCATTCGAAAGCAGGCCGCTGCTAACCTGCGCTGCTGGCGTACGGGCTGTCGCGGAGCCGTCGCAGCCTTGGGTTGCTTCGTTTGCGCACTCTTTCGCAAACAATGTTGGGCTGCTTCTTGCTTCTCTGGACGTCTGAAACAGCTTAGTTCGGTTTTGGATGGGAGCATCTGGCTCTGAGGATACGAACGTGCTGGGCCGAAGGCGTCCAGCAGTGCAGCTCCGCGGCCGCAGCGAGAGGGCTCCTCGCATCTTTTGTTTGGAATCCGAGACAAGGACGAGGGCAGCCTTGATTTGGAGACACAGGGTACCCCAAAGCTTGACGGTCCATACCGAAGCGGCTGCAAGCCAACATGAGGTCGGATGGCCGAGGCTAGCCCGCAACGAAGTCACGGCTGCCTTCTGTGCTTGTATGTGCTTGTCTAAGTTTGAGAAAGGCATGACCTGGTGTGCTAAGATGTCCTGAGTTCAGGATCTTGAGTGCAGCTTGGGATCAGAGCTTGTGGTGATTTTTTTACTGGAAACTCGATTTTTGCAGAACCTCTGTTGAGCGAGGAACCCGCATAAAAGATCGGAGAAATTGTCCGGGTGCTTCTGCCATGGCCCTGGAAGCGAAGCAAGCGACGCTTTCTGCCCTCCTGCTGGGAGTTGGCATTGGCTTTGGCCTGGAAGTGCTGCGCCGGCACCTGACCAGAAGACAGGCCCAGGCAAAGGCAGAGGGAGGAACGGAGGGGAGCGGCGCGGTAAAGGAGAGCACCATTCGCCTCATGTCGCGCCTGGCACTTCAGCACGGTGCGATCAATCTCTCGCAGGGCTTTCCCAACGAGCCCCCGCCCACGGCGATGCTGCATGCGGCCGCTGGAGCCCTGCTGAAAGGGGGATCCCTGGAGGAGGCCAAGGCCTTCGTCGCTGAGCGCCTGGATCCGCTTCTGCTCTCCGAAGAAGGGCAAAGAACACCGCAAGGAGAGCCGCAGCCGCAGCGGGACTTGCTCTCCCAATACTCCTTTCCCTTCGGCCTACCTCTTCTCAGACAGAGCCTTCAGAAGTACTATGCTCGCTTTTATCCGGGAATACAAGCAGATTCCGAGGAGAACATCACGGTGGTGCTGGGTGCTACGGAGGGCTTTGCTTGTTCTCTCCGCACTATCTGTTCACCCGGCGATCGTGTGGTTTTTTTCGAACCTTTCCACGAGCTGTATCCAAGCCAGTGCAAGTTATGGCACTTGGTGCCATCGGCGGTGACCTTGACCGAAGAGAGCGGAGAGAGCGGAGAGTGGAGCTTCGACTCTTTCGAGCTCGAGAAGGCGTTGAGCGGGGCCAAGGTCTTGCTCCTCAACACCCCGCACAACCCAACAGGCAAAGTCTTCACGGAATCTGAGCTTTCTATCATCGCTGCCCTATGCATCAAGCATGATGTTCTGTGTGTAACTGACGAAATCTACGAACACATCGTTTTCGACGGTGCAGCTCACGTTCCCGCTGCCATGGCACTTCAGCCTGGAATGGCAGAGAGAACCTTTGTCGTCAACGCAGTCAGCAAAACCGCCCGGGCCACTGGCTGGCGAGTGGGGTGGGTGATCAGTCCTGCCAAGTACACGCAGGCACTTCGTGGAGTTCACGATCAGCTGGTGTTACAGGCACCCACCCCGCTGCAATACGGAGCTGCCTCCATGCTTTGTATGGACGACGCTTACTTTGCTAGTCATGGTCCGGAATACCTGGCGAAGCGAGACATCCTTCTTCCGGCACTTCGCAGTGCGGGATTCCGTATCGCCGCGAAGCCACGGGGTGCTTACTACATCTTCGCGGACTTCCTCCATGTACCCGCCCTGCAAGGCTTATCACCAACAGAGGCAGCTATGAAGATGACCAGAGACATTGGGGTAGCCTGTGTTCCAGGGGACAACTTCTATCTTGGGACAAGTCGAACTGCTCCTCATCTGGGCGCGAGGTACCTGCGCTTTGCCTTCGTCCGGTCCAGCGACCTGCTTTTGCAGGCGGCCGCATTGCTGAAGCAGCGGCTCTGACATATCCCTGCCCAGCGGATCGCGTGAGTCTGGAAAGAAATACTCGTATTACATTGTGCTCGCAAAGTGGGTTTCCAAACTGCGCATCAGCCGATCAGCCGATCAGCTGATCCGCCGATCAGCTGATCGGCTGGTCTGCTGGTCGGGTTTAGGGTTTCGGGGTTTAGGGTTTGTGGGTTTAGGGGTTTAGGGTTTAGGGGTTTAGGGTTTAGGGGTTTAGGATGCTTTAGGGTTTAGGGTTTAGGGTTTAGGGGTTAGTTAGGTTTGGGGTTGATTTGCTGATCGGCTGATTGGCTGATGCACGGTTTTAGGCCCAAAAGCCACACGCAATGTTTGAAATATTAGGAGAAGCCGACTGTTCCCATTGAGGTGTTCACTGAGCTCGGGTTACGTAAATAAGATTGCAGATCCAGGAGCAGAGACTCTGGGGCACCCTCTCCAGGTGCTTCAATTTGTTGCTTCGGAATCGGATGGGTATGTCTTGCATAGTTACGGCTTGCTTTAGTGGCTGCCAGCTTCCCATAGCACGGAAGCCTTTGGTTCAGTTCAATTAACCGCTTTTCATGACTGCCTGCAGGCACAAGCCGGACCAGAGGCTCAGTCGGAGAGGCCTAGAGACCCCTGACTGACGGAGGAATCCGTACTTTTGCTTCTTGTAGTCGAGGACAGAAAGTCAAATTGCATTCTTGACGATTCGGAGGCTTTACTTCTCCCCAGCGCACGGAGTCCAAGGCAGGAAGCTCAAAATCTACTAGCTTGTCGGGAGTGCAAGCCGGCATGGTGGGGGGATCGTAGTGGACATTCTACCTCATGCTGGTGGTGGTACGTATCAGCATCGAAGCCATGCATGCTTCTAGCGTCCCAACATCCAGCAGGACGAACTAGCCGAAGGTTACAACTGGACAGCAGCAAACACTAGGACTGTTTTGACTCGCAGGTGTGGAAATGAACTTGACACACATCTCGTCAAAGCTAGCAGGCGCCTTCCAGGAATCTGCCGAGTGGAACCATAGTGCAAGTGGTAACATGACGGGACTGCTTTGCTGCTGCTGTTTGCTGATATCAAGGTGCACAGCTGCCGAATCGATGAAACCCGGCGACTTGATCTCACACTTTCTCCCACCGCCGCTCGCATCTGCTTTCTGCAGCATGTTCATTAACCTTACCGGAGCATCCTGCAGTCTTGAGATTGACAGCGAGAAACAGCGAGAAGCCACAGAACATGAGGCAGCTCAAAGAAGCAGCCGACACCTCGTCTCACAGAAATGCGCGAAATTCCGAGACCCCTGCAGTTCCTGAAGACCTCAGGCCGGAGAACGAATCATAAAGTGCAGGAGTTCGTGGCCTGCCTCATGTCCTTCGCCCTGGATCCGAACACCGACCTCCAGGCTGACAGCGGAACAGCGCGTTGCGGTTTCCCGGTTCTTCTCGTGGTCTTAAACAGCGGGGTCGCTGTCGTCGAAGTCTGGCTAGTGTAGAGGGCTCAGTTTTGCAGCCGTTATTTGTTTTTTCAGCAAGTATATTGATTTAAATGCTACTGCTACTACTACTGCGACAACGTCGGCTAAGAATAATAACATTATTACCGCTGCTACTACTGCTGCTACTACGACGAC